TTACATATCAGTCTAACTTCAAATAATCATATTCAAAATGGTTCCCACGCAAATTCGAAGTTGTGATTAAGTATACTTGAGAAAAATCTGGTGGTTGGAGACTTGTGGTGTAGCGGTACAAACAAAGAGATCATATCTATGCTATCCAAGTAATTTTTCATTCCATTATATCTTGCTACTTGAATCGTGTTTTGTATTGGAACCTGAGGTAGATTAAATTCTTTTAAACCCATTGAAGGTCTTAAAAGGTTTGAGAGAGATTCAAAGTCCGACCTTATTGAGGTTACATACAAATATACACACTTTAGTACAGTCTTGCACAAATTCTGATACAGCTGAAGTGTGATGGGGGGTTCATGGAAAGATTTCCAGGGTAATCCTAATAGTTCTATTGAGACCACCATATGATTGGCTTTTCTATTTGTTTTCTTTCCCCCATAAGCCAAAACATAAATATATTAGACAAGAACTTCAGTTTGTTGCTGGTACGTAGTACTAGACTGAATTGAACAGTAAAGTGAACAAGATCTTAAGTTGTTTTTATTTTGTTGTAGTACTATGGAGTATCATCTAATTCGCCGTATTCATATGGCTTCTCGTAGTGTTAGAGCTTCCTTGGGCATTCCAAGAAGTGATAACACTGTAGCACAAATATGTCTGGAAGAAAGACCTGCTTCTTCAATCTGATCCTGAGGTGCTCCATGGTCGATATATCTATCAGGAAGCATCATTGATCTCAACTGCAATTTAGTAAACATTAAATCTCATCAAAATTTAGAAATCCTATTCTTAAATGAAAATAAATCCCCTCTTCCTTTGGGAAGGGAGGATTAGGGAAACAATTGGATATGTGTATAGGAGATTCCTCGGATTGGTTTGTCATTTCCGTAAGAAATAATTACCTTCAGAGGTCCATCCAAAATGCCATTTAAGCTTAGGAAATGTGAGACGTGCGAACCAAAACCTCCAATAGAACCTTCCTCTGCTGTGATCAAGATTTCATGCTCTTTTGCCAGTCTTCGAATAAGATCAGCATCCAATGGTTTGCAGAATCTAGCATCGGCTATTGTCGGGAATATGTTATGGGCTTTGAGCATTTCAGCAGCTCCAAGACATTGTTGAACTATTGCACCATATCCAAGAATTGCAATTCTATTGCCTTCTCTTAGTATCCTT